CTCCTCCATCCAGAGATAAAACTGTTAATTTTATCAGGTTAAACAGAAAATACATGAAATTTAATAAACGTATTTTCTTATAATGAATATTCTGCACTTAATTCAAGGGAACAAATCTGTTCATCATGTACTCACGACTATATTCTTGTGAAATCTAACATATGCATACATGTCATACAGTATCACAAAAAACATTTGAGTGTAATGCTATGAACAAACAGAGTTGTAAACTAAAACTGTTCCACCAGAATGTTGTACAGCTGCTAAAGTTGAAACTATACCAGAATAAAAAATTCTGGCTCACGACACTCGACAAAATTGCTCAAAACCCTAATGAAGGAATGTTAGTATATTAAAAGTGCAAAGTATCCAAAGAAAGATTACTCTGGACAACTGGGATTTATAGGCAAAGCAATAAACACTGAAAAGAGGGAATCCCAGCAGGATGGTACAGAGCAGAGGTTTCCAAACCTTCCTTCTCAGCACCCTTTGTATCTCAGTAATTTTTTAGTGGTGCCTCGAGGCCAAAGGAAATAGCTAACAATTCTGTTAACTACATGGTTAGGTCGAAACAATTTAATAAATATATATATGTCCTAATAATTTAGTGGCCATTAAAAAATACTCATATATTGAAAGAAATAGATTTTTACTTCATTCTTAACCCCAATTACTTACTAATGGGATGTGTACATCTGACAGGCACTACGCAACTTCTCAAATCTTGTAATCAGAATGACACTGCCACCCTCATTTCCTGTTCCACACTTATTACTGTGTGGAATGATGTCCCCTCCTTCCCCCAAAAGATATTCATGTGTGAATTCCTGGAAACTGTGAATATGTTTCCATACATGGCAAAAAGGATTAAGGCTGCAGATGGAATTAAGGTTGCTAATCAGCTGATTTTAAAATTGGGAGACTATCCTGGATTACCTGGGTAGACCCAATGTAATCACAAGGATCCTTAAAAGTAGAAGAAGGAGGCAGAATATGAAGTTCAGAGGAAGATGTTACCTTGGAAGGAAGGAACAATGCAATATGAGATGCAACATGAGAAGGACTTGACCTGCTGTTGCCAGCTTTACAGATGGATGAAGGGAGCCACAAGCCACGGAATGTGGACAGCCTCTAGAAGTTAGAGAAGGCAAGGAAACAAATTCTTCCCTAGTGTCTGCCCACATTTTGATTTTAGCCTCGGGAGACTCGAGTTGGACTTCTAACTTACAGAAATATACAATAATAAATTGGTGTTTTTCTAAGCCACTATGTTTGTGGTAACTTATTAACAGCAGCCATAGAAAGACTAATATAGACCCCCAAATGATACTAATAACAATTAAAAACAACTGCAGCTATAAATATTTCAGGTCAATTAGATGAGCTAATAACAAGTAAACTGCCTATATTATACTCCTTGGCTAGACTCACCAAGAAAAAAAGAGCAGACTCAAATAAATAAAATCAGAAATCAAAGAGATGTTACAACTGATACCACAGAAACACAAAGGACAAGAGACTACTATGATATAATTATATGCCAACAAAATAGACAACCTAGAAGAAATGTATAAATTTCTAGAAATATACAACCTACAAAGCCTGAATTGCAATGAAATAGAAAACTTGTACAGATCAGTTAGTAGGAGGAGATAGGATCAATAATCAAAAACCTCTCAACAAAGAAAGGTCCATGACCAAAAGCCTCCACTGGTGAAGTCTACCAAACTTTCAGAGGTGAACTAATACCAATCCTTTTCAAACTCTTCCAGAAAACAGAAGAGGGGGAAACTTCCAAATACATTTTACAATGCCAGCATTACCCTGATACCAAAACCAGATAAGGATGCCCCCAAAAAAGAAAATTACAGGCCAATATCCCTGATGAATACAGATGCAAAAATCCTTAACAAAACAGCAAACCAAATTCAACAATACATTAAAAGGATCATACACCATGATGAAGTGAGATTTATTCCAGGGACACAAGGCTGGTTCAACATCTGCAACTCAGTCAATGTGATACACCACATTAACAAAATGAAGGGATAAAAATCATGTGATCATCCCAATAGACAGAGAAAAAGCATTTGACAAAATTCAACACCCATTTATGATAAAAACGCTCAACACAGCAAGTATAAAGGGAATGTATCTCATCGTAATAAAGGCCATATATGACAAGATCACAGTTAACATTATACTCAATGGTAAAAAGCTGAAAGCTTTTCCTCTAAGATCAGGAACGAGACAAGGATAACCACTCTCCCCACTTTTATTCAACATGATATTTGGAAGTCCTAGTCACAGCAATTGGGCAAGAAAAAAAAAAAAGGTATCCAAACTGGGAAGAAGCAAAACTGACACTATTTGCAGATGACATATTATACACAGAAAATCCTAAAGACTCCATCAAAAAACTGTTGGGGGCTGGCTTCCCTGGTGGCGCAGTGGTTGAGAATCTGCCTGCTAATGCAGGGGACACAGATTTGAGCCCTGGTCTGGGAGGATCCCACATGCCGTGGAGCAACTAGGCCCGTGAGCCACAACTACTGAGCCTGCGCGTCTGGAGCCTGTGCTCCGCAACAAGAGAGGCCGCGATAGTCAGAGGCCCGCACGCCGCGATGAAGAGTGGCCTCCGCTTGCCACAACTAGAGAAAGCCCTCGCACAGAAATGAAGACCCAACACAGCAAAAATAAATAAATTAATTAATAAAACAAAGGACTAGTCTTTAAAAAAAAAAGTTTAAAGGCCATTTGTTATCCTTTAAAAAAAAAACTGTTGGAACTAATAGATTCAGTAAAATTGTAAGCTACAAAATCAACAGAAAAATCTTGCATTTCTACACTAGTAATGAACTATCTGAAAGAGAAATGAAGAAAAAAATCCCATTTACAATTATATCAAAATAATAAAACATCTAGGAATAAAATTAACCAAGGAGGTGAAAGATCTGTATATTGAAAACTTAAAGACATTAATTAAAGAAACTGAAGACAAAAATAAATGGAAAGATATTCTGTGCTCATAGATTGGAAGAATTACTATTGTTAAAATGTCCATACTACCCAAAGCAATCTACAGATTCAAAGCAATCCCTATCAAAATTCCAATGGCATTTTTCACAGATATAGAACAAACAATCCCAAAATTTGTGTGGAATCACAAAAGACCCTGGATAGCTAAAGCAGCCTTGAGAAAGAAGAACAAAGCTGGAGACATCACATGCCCTGATTTCAAACAATATTACAAAGCTACAGTAATTAATACAGTATAGTATTGGCATAAAAACTGAGACATAGATCAATGGAACAGAACAGAGAGCCCAGAAATAAACCTACACACTTATGGTCAATTAATTTACAACAAAAAAGCCAGGACTATGCAATGGGGAAAGGACAGACTCTTCAATAAATGATATTAGGAAAACTAGACAACCACATGCAAAAGAATGAACTTGGACCACTATCTTACACCATATGCAAAAATTAACACAAAATTGATCAGAGACTTGAATGTAAGACCTGAAACCATAAAACTCCTAGAATAAAATATAGGCAGTAAGTTCCTTGACATAGGTCTCGGCAATAATTTTTTGAATCTGACACCAAAAGCGAAAGAACAAAAGTGAAAATGAACAACTGGGACTACATCAAACTAAAGAGCTTCTGCACAGCAAAGGAAACCAACAAATGAAAACGCAACCTACTGAATGGGAGAAAATTGCAAACCATATATCTGATAAGGGGTTAATATCCAAAATATACAAAGAACTCATACAATTCAGTACCAAAAAGCAAACAATGCAATTAAAAAATGGGCAGAAGATCTGAATACTCATTTTTCCAAAGAAGACATACAGATGGCCAACAGACACATAAAAGAAGTTCAATATCATTAATCATCAGGGAAACACAAATCAAAGTCACAACGAGATATTACCTCACACCTGTCAGAATGGCTATTACCAATAAGACAAGAAATAACAAGTGTTGGCATGGATGTGGAGAAAAGGGAACCCTCCTACACTGTTGGTGGGAATGTAAATTAATACAGCCACGATGGAAAAAATGGTATTAAGGTTCCTCAAAAAACTAAAAATATAACTACCATATGATCCAGCAATTCCATTTCTTATCTGAAGGAACTGAAATCACTATCTCAAAAAGATATCTACCTACACCCGCCTTGTTCACTGCAGCATTATTTACAATAGCAAAGATATGGGAACAACCTAAGTGTCCATCAATGGATGAATGGATAAAGAAATTGTGGAATATATATGCAATAGAATATTACTCAGCCATAAAGAATGAAATCTTGCTATTTGTGACATGTTTAGATCTTGAGGATATTATGCTAAGTGAAGTAAGTCAGACAGAGAAAGACAAATATTGTACGATCTCTCTTATATATGGAATCAAAAACAAACAAACAAGAAAACCCAACAAACCAAGGTCACAGAAACAGAGAACAGACTGGTGGTTGCAAGAGGTCGGGGGCGGTAGGAGAAATGGTGAACTGTTTGGTTTTTGTTTTTAGTTTAAATAAACTGAATAACATTTTTTTTAAAAGGCTAAATAGAAAATAAACCTATAGGTGCTCATTCAAAGAATTTTACTGGTGTGTACTTGAAACATCACAGCTTTTTGCCTCTGTTCATGTTCATTTTCCTTCCTGTTTAACAATCATGTAATGGCTATAAACCAGATAAAAAATACTTGTGTTATGCTCTGATATGATTTTTAAAAGAATATAAGCTTTTCCAAGCTATATAAGCTTAGGCTAAAGATTATACATTTCCATATGCAAAATTCAATGGAAATGTTTTTAGTTATTTCTTGAGCTCTTTTTAGATGGGATGATGGTCTGATGGCTAGACAAGGGAGACCTTTTTGTATATTTAACAATTACTTACGGAAAAAGTCCTACTGCCAGTGTGTATATACTTCTATAAACTGGAACTATTTATTCAAAGTTCAAAACAGTCTGTGTTCACCTGTGGTTAAAGGCAGGTGTGTGATGCTGTTCAAACAGGTCAGGGTGAACCACGTGGATGACAGTGTAGCCCCAGAAAACAGGAGGAGAAGAATTAGTTTCAGCATACCCCTGATAAAATCTGCAAACCTGAAAAGAAACAATGTTCTATTAATGCTAGCTGGATTTTTTAAATACCATTTACATCAATGACACGTTTTCATTAAACAATAATTTCCTGAAAAAATTTCAGTGCTTTTAAACGCAAGTTTTTTTGATTTTTTTAAACCAATACATTGTATGTGTTTGTGTGTGTGTGATAAATGTTGCTTTGTGATAAATGCATTCTTTTTTCTCTTACAAAACACATAAAATGTGATCTCTGTTCTGGATCTGTAAGTTACAGGATGGATTCTGAGTTTTAAATTGCCACTTTACTTTCTTTATATATTTTTCTATAATTTCCAAACATCCTATAATGAGCACATATTGTCCTAGTTTTAGAAAATAGGCTAACTTGTTGATGTAAACTTGCAAAGATGGCTCTCCCAAAATTCAAACTCACCTAGAGAACAAATACTAATGGTTACACCAGAGCCTTTTGGGTCCTATATGATCTGGTCTCTGCCTCCACTTTCCCTTTGCCTTATTATTCTCCAGCTGCACAGCCCTGTTTCTGTTTCTCCTACATGCTAAGGTTGTTTCCCACAGCAACGGTAGCTTCTGCACCTGTCCTGGAATGCTGGTACCCCCAGATCGTCATATGACTTACTCCTGCTTATTGTTCAGGTCATTTGGGTCTCAGTTCAGGAAGGCTCTCCACGCTTGTGGAGGAAGCCCTCCCCATCCCAACTCCACACTCTATTTTCTCTATAGCATTTAACTCTATTGGAATTTCTCTTGTTTTTGCATTTGTTTGTCTTCCCTATCAGACTATAAGCTTTGTAAGAGCAAGAACGTAGCTCTAGAATAGTGAATTTATTCTACAAAATTTGTGTATAATGTTTCACAGCATTTTAAGTTCTCAAAAATCCTGCTTTGTCTTGAATTAACATGAAACTCCTGGTTGAGATGCTTATCGTTTAGTCATGACCAAAAAGTTTTTCATTTGCCAACTGTTTTTCCTCATCTACTGATGAACCGTTGATTATATAAGCACAATCCTCTTGCTGTGCCTGTACACAGGTTACTCTGTCCTTCAGAATTGTTCCTATTGTAAAAAAACGGATCCCATCCCAAATATAACATATACCATGTTTTCTCTGTTTTTTAAATTGATTTTAATTTCTACTGTAATTATATGACTTGCAATACTATCTTTCATTTTGCACTTATTTGATGTGATGTGGTTAATCATGTTTGTAAAGTGTTATCTAGACTAAAACGACTTCCTATGAGAGCTGATGCCATCTTTTGGTGGGAAAAATGGATGCACCTTTGCCTAGTGACTTTGGTTAGTTCTCTACTATGAAAGTTCACAAACAGAAAATTCTCATGTACTCTGAAAAAGGTTCCACAGCTTGATGGAAATGCCCCTCAAGAAAATCCAAATGCTTTGTTATAATTCCATGCTCACCACTTTTCTGATTTATATTTTGCTATGCTGCATGAACTTACTTGTCAGATGGGCAGATGGTCAGCTATGAGAGAATAAAACAGTTTTCTGGTACAATCAGAATTGAGTGAAATTGAACACTGAGTAAGTTTTCCAGGGCCTGATCACACAAGAATAAACTGACTACTCTGGTCTACCAATTTTAGATAGCTAGTCCTTTCAAATGGGCTTATACCATCAAAGTGTACTGTTAGGACCAAAGTATTACATTTAGTAGTAACCTTTAGTAATATAATCACAAAAAAAAAAACACCCAAAGCACTCATATCTTTAAGGAGATTCTGTTTTGGCATCCCAAAAAGGCTGTTTTGAATATAATCTAAAAATTGATTTTAGGCTTAGGAGATACCTACAATTGATTTTGGATCCCAGAGTAAGGGCAGTACTTTTTAGAACTTCCATTTCAATAATTTAAAAACAGAAACGTCCTCATTCTAACTTTTCCATATAGTTAAAATTAAGGCTTTGTAGAACAAAATGAAGAGAAAGAAGCATTTGAGATGTCATTTCTGATACATCATGTGTCCCTCTTTGACCTATGTGGTGCTCAGAAAAGGATTTGGTAAATGATGACTCGCTATCATTGGCTTGGAGATTTAATTAGAAAAATTAGATATGATTCTTATCAAATGTGATAGGTCAATCAATGTATTCTAGTATCAGTGTAGTGATTTCCTACAAACAGCTATGCTCCTATTCTTTAGCTTTTCGATTTTATCCTCATATTTTTCTAACTTATAAAAACCTCAGATAAAGTGATTTAGAAATTACAGTGACAATTTATTCTTTCCTTAGCCCAGAAACACTAGGCAAACTGTAAGGTTTAGATATAATATTATCCTGTGTCAACTGTGTTTAAATATTTAGATAGCAAGGTGCTTCGCATATCTCATTTGATCTCCCCAAATATGTAATTAGGTTCTCCCATTCCTG